CAAATTTTTTAAGATAAAAGTAAAATATTTTGTTGAGGTTTTAAAATTATGTTTTGTGAAATATTTTTCAACTTTTTTTAGTTTTATTTTTTTTATTTAAGTTATATTTAAGTAGGTTTGATATCGATTTTCAACATGATTTTACACAAATTCTGTCTGCACGTAAAATTTTTGCTTTAATTAAAAGCTTATTTTATTTCCTTTCAAGTGAATATCCATTCAGGTCGGTCCATCATTTGAATCTTTTTAATAATTTTTTAGGGAAAAACTCATTTTTTTTTTAAAATTTTGGTTGATTTATTTTATTATCTCAGTTATTACACAACATACAATTATGAGGTATGTACCAAATGGAAGAAAAGACTTCTTTTCCAACTGTGTATTTATTTAAAACTTACCACACGAACTTTATCAAGACCCAACACCACTCTATTATATTCTACTCATACAAAAGCTGGTACTCTACCAAAATACACATATTATAAATCCTAAAAATAGTCGATAGATCACATATGCAATATTCACAAAATTAAAATTTAATGTATATAAGGTAAGATTGAAGTCTTAATTTGTTTTTTTTTTTTTGGCATGTCGTGAAAACACCTAATATATAAAGGAATTATTATTTTTTGTGAATTGTACGAAATTTGATGCAAAATATATTCGCACTTATTTTTAACAAATCTGTATAATGGAAATGGTGAAATTTTTTTTAAATTGTTATTAGGTTACAGGACCAGTTGATTTTAAGAAATATCTAAAACCAACTGTAATAATGTTTTTAATTTAAATTAATAAAATATGAATCTGCAATCACGAGTATATATTATATATAGTATTGAATATAAATAATTCTTAAATTTTTTTTTCTTAAAAAGCCAAATGATAATTTAAGTATTTTGCTTATTTTGTGTTGAACTAATTAAATACCCGTACATACAAAAATTATTTTATATTATATCTATATTTGTTTAATGTAAAATATGTAATTTGAACATATATAAAAACTTACATGTAAAATAAAAGAAAACTCTGTAACAAAATATATACCTGAACTTAATTGTATTATAAAATTATGTTAACTATTATTTTACAAATATTAAACAAAAACTATTTTTGAATGAAACAAAAGTAAAATTATATAATTGTAAGGTCCCGATTGACGGCAAATGCCAAAATCGTATAAGGATAAAATTAGATATTATGTAAATGAAGTTAGGTTTTTCTTATTAGTTGTGTTAAAATTGTGAGGTTGTTAGACTATAATATAAATAAATTGTAGTCCTAGTTGTACAATGTAAACATTATTTTATACTATATCTATATTTTTTTAATTTATTAATGTATATAATAAAAGAAAAATAAAATAAAATTAAAAATAATCTGTGACAAAAAATATATATGAACTTGATTATATTATAAAATTAAGTTAACTATTATTGCACAAATATAATTTGAATGAAACAAAAATAAAATTATATAATTGTTAATTGTTGAACTATAATATAAATAAATTGTAATGCTAGTTCTAAAGTGCAAACATTGTTTATATATATATATTTAGAAATAAGCAAAATAAAATGATTTAAAAATGAATAAATACTTTATAAACAAATTTTGTATTAATTGTTTTTATTGTTGAATGAGTGAATTAGTAGGCGTGTTTTGAATTTAATATCTAATAACCTCTTCCTCATCACATATACCAGTGCTAAAGCAGTCTAGACAAACATAATCATACATTTGATGGTTAACGTTTATAGGGAACTTAAATATAAATTGATGTAGAAGTCCGAATATAAAAACAACGCCGTTCTATCACACAAACAGCGAAATTAATTAATAAAACTACAGAACGTATCTGAGATCATTTCCCCTTACTAAAGTGTGTGACAACACTCGTTGCAAGCTTCTACTGTGTGATAACATCCAAGGAACGATTTTGTTAATTTTTAAGGAAAGAATTTTATGTTACCTAATAATTTGTTTGAAGCAAACAGTTGAATGAACTACTTTATAATCTTGGGAAATAATCGTAAATTCCATAAATTCCATAAAATTAACTTAAATATTTGAATCTTTTATAATTTCTTTAGATTTAAAAAATCAGATTTTTAGATGTCAGTAATTTAAATGTTCTCTTCTTTAATATTAATATCAATGACTAATTGAAGTGTTGAACTAAAGTTAACGATTTATGGAACTCCAATTGTCCATAAAATCAGCTGATATTTTAATTTAATTAAAAACAAGAAACGAATATGTAGCAACGAAATGAAGCTCATGTACATACGTAAGGGAATATTAAATTGTCATAAACGATACATTTCTGCGGAATGTATTGTTTTTTAACTCTTTCAATTTATGTGGTGGATTGGTGGACGTGAACTTTGATGCAGTGTCGAAGTTATCTGTGACAATTGTAAAACATGTGTTTAAAGCTATAAGTACACTGCGTGCATGATGATTAAGTAAAGTTTCCTGGAATACAAGAAGATACCAAAGGACTGTTCTAGACTTTTCAGTTCTAGGCTGAAAGTCATGTCAGTCACCGGAATATTTGAATTAACTACTAAAGAAATATATGCTTATTCATTTGTGTTTACTTTCAAAGTCGACTAAAATTGCGAAATGTTTCACAATAGAAAATGATTTTTTACTGGATGTCCAACTTGTAAGTCATGTACACATTTAACTATTTAAAATATCACTTATTGGTGTCTGGGACATGGTCATGAATGAACTATGTATGTTTCATAATTTTAGAATATGTTCGAAACTTTGAAAACTGAGAATACGTGTTAAGTTTAAGATTGCAGATGGTGGCTATTCTTTAGTCATTTTCAGAGTCGGTGGAGTTTTAATATAGCTCCTATTAAAACTAGCTATTTCCCTAGATCTTTATGCTCCATACCAGTAGATTTCCTAAGTCTTTAAAATTTTAATAGAAATACCTGCTAGTAAAAAAAATAGTTACATAATATTAAATAAATAGTTTAAATATGTGTTATAATTATTTCTGTCATTAGGTAAATTGTTCTCTAGCAACTGAATCTGTAATTCATTTTTTTTTCTCTCTGGTCCTTTAAATATTCTATTCCCAAAAGTACTGCTTGTTTTCAACAGTTTAAGCTATTGATTGATAACAGGTCAATAATTTTGTATACTTGCTAATAATTGATTTTTAATTATTTTTAACAGCCAAAACTGTTAAGGGGCGTACTGCCTATTGTCCCACTGTGTTACTGTGTACGTAAACTAATTACTTATGTATTTTTTAAATAAAATTTGGCAGTTAATGGCACTGGTACCACGAGAGGCTTTAATGCCGGTATTAATAAAATATTCATTTATTTTATTCCAGTCTGGTTTTGCTTATATAGAATACCTTATCCATTTCATTTTATTACAATGTCTCCATATTATTCATAGTATATAACAACGAAACTTTCATTCCTTTTCTTTTCTGCTTTTTAATGAATTTGTAAATGGTACACATTCGATGCACATTCAAAATTCAAAATCAGCTGTCTAAAATATTTGGTGTGTTCAGTAAAAGTTTGAAAACAAATTTCCTTTAAAAAAAAGTAAATGGAGAGTTCAATCAGCGACTGTAAAACTGCTCAAAAATCAGTTGTTTGTTGTTTATCTAAATAATATATATTAAATGCATTAATTTTATTGATTTCGCTTACTTAAGAATACATAAATTTTTTCCCTTCAATTGATACCATTTGCTTTAAATCACTGATTTTGACACAAGGAGTATGTTTAGTTACTACAAACGCGTCGAAATTTTAATAATTTTATGCAAATTTTACACGTAGCTTTCCCCAATAATCTTATATGACATTTATACTGCCCACAAATGAGTTATTTCAAATCAGTAATTTGAAAAGGTTTACATTCTTTGTTCTTCATTTGTAATATTGGATGAAGGTAAAATAGAAATTTAAACTGTACAATACGTATAAATTGAAAACCTATTTTTAGTTTCGATTAAGTACTTTTTCGTAAGTAGAAGTTCCAAAAAATGGTGCATATTTTTTAAGGCAATAGAACCACCAAATATTTTTTTATCATGTTTTGTAAATATATAAAAAACAGCTGTTTAATGTATTCATTTGCATATGGAACGTATGTGGAATTTATTTGAAACTCGTTAGAACTCATATATACAAAATCAGTAAATGGAATTCATTTGCGTTCATGAGAATTTGTATGCAGAACTAATACGGCGTTTACATTGGCCGAAAATGGCTCATTTTGGTCAAAAATCGAAAATGAGTATCGAATGGCTCATTCTTGCATATAAAATTTCAAGCACAAAATGAGCAATTTTTTCACATTCTGTATGAATGACGTTCGAATGCATTCCACATATGTTCCAAATGCAAAGGAATCTATTGAACATACCCTAAATGAAAGCTCTTCATGGCATTTTGACAGTTTGTAAAAGCTGTTTTGACATATTTACAAAAAAAGATAAACAAATGTTTAGTAGTTTTATTTCAGTTTGAATTGTTACCATGAGAACGAATGAAATACAACGAATGTAAACACTTTCAAATGAGTCATTCAAAATGAGCCATTTTCGGCCAATGTAAACCCCGTATAAATTATATACTTTTCATTTGTGATTTTTGATCAGTAATATGTGATTTATTGTCTATAAATAACCAGTTAAATTCCTTAACTTAAAGAGCTGAAAAGCTTGAAATAACTTAAATTTTTTATTGAAAAAAGATACCAGTATTATTTTGGATATTATTCTTAGAAATTCTTCTGGTGTTGTACTTTTGTTTGTTAAAATAGAAATAGTTAATTTTGATTTGCATTTTGGGAAAGTGTTTAATATAAATTCTGAATTAATAAATACCATTTTAATGCAATCATACATTAATTCGGAAATAAATTTTCGAACTACTTTTTACTTTTTAAATTTTACAAGTAAAATTCTTCTTTGTTTTATATATCTAAACTCTCAGCAATTATATTTCTTGTTAAATGTTTTTGTTCTTGAAAATGAAGCAAAATTAAGTTTATTCGATATATTTTGTGTATTAATCAACAAGACCTAAATGGATAGCTGTTAGCAATCCTAAATGAAGATTTTTTGACAGCCGGTTTATTTGCTTCAAAGAAGATATTCTCTGATTTGCTTGTTGCGCCTATGCAATAAGAGAGTATCAGTAAATTGCAGTGCGTATGCTGGTTCATAAGTCATTTTGTAAACATTGTTGTTTATTTATAAATTTTAATAATAATAATTATAATAAACTATTGATGTTGTGAAACTAAAAGTTTTGGTGTTATGTTCTTTAATTTTCATTAAAATAAATTAAACGAAAATTGTCTTCACGCAATGTCAGAAACAAATATAAAAAATGATTTGATAGTTGCTCTAACGGAACACCTGTCGATTAGGACACGAAGCCTGCATAAAATGTTGAAATATAAAATAATTTAGACAAATAAAAACAAAATAGTGTCTCACTAAACTACGCTAAATCAAGTTTGGAAATTGCAAAACAGAATTGAGAACGTGTTTTTGTATGGTAAGCCAAATCAATTATCATTTTTGTGTTCGTTTATGTATTAAAAAATGTTTTTACTTCATAGAATTTTAAAATATTTGGCATTAGTGTTTTACATTAAAATTATATTTATTAGTGACTCCGTTGGACCTCAAATGCATAAGTATAAAGCACGCAATAAAAATGGGGACACTAATCAAAACAGTTTGTCTCAAGTCAAAGGCATTGATATTTCAATGATGGAATGCGATTTTGAATTTTATTATTGTTTCCTTACAATTGTTGCATTCGTCACCGTTTCAGCACTGAAGAATCAAAATGTGAGTAAATGTGAATTGCATATGTTATTCTTATAAATAGAAATTAGATTTTTGTATGCACAAGGTATGTCTTTGACTAACTCAGATGTCCTTGAAATGTGAAGCACTTCCAATTTGTTTCTTAACAGATTTTATAAATTATTTTTGTATATTTTTTATAATTATTAATTTTTAAGTCAGAATAAAGTTTTTGAGAAAAATGTGTTCATTTGAGGATATAAGAATAGGCATTTATATTTGTAATATATTTTATTAATTTTACATTTTATAAATTTTCTGTTCAATAAAAAGCAAGATAATTTTTTCAATTTTATTAACAAAATAAATTTATTATAATGTAGACATCCAAAATAACATTATAAACTTTAGATAGATATGTAACGAAAATGATAAGCAACAACACATTTGTATGTAATTTTATTGCAAAAATAACGAACAGATTTAACCTTTTTATATAAACTACACATTAAACATATAGCTTGTGTTTGCTGCGTGGAGGATAAACGGCTGTGAGATGCATTAAATCATATTATGGAGTGCATACTAGCTAACGTGTACGTGTGTTTTCTTTACAGCAAGTATGCAACTGGTTTTAAGATAATGCACCTCTCTGTGCTATAAAGTGTCGCTTTTCTCCTTCTAAGTAGCGACCAAAAATCGGTTACTAACTATAGCTTTTTCTAGAAACAAAAATACAAACATAACATATTAAAGTTAAAATAGGAATCCTTCTTTATTAAGAGTATTTGATTAATCAAATGATTATTATTTAGAGACTTCAATGAATATAAACACATTTCGTAATATCGCCATTTGTTATAGTGGACCTCCACTGGATAAATAATTCAGATTTTCTATTGAATGCAAATATGATGTGAGGTAGGTTTACGGTTTTATCATTAAGTAACGTACTGAAGTAACGGCGATTTTTAGTTTAGTTTAAGTTTACGAAAATTCAAATCTCATATAATAATTTCATTAATTTTCTAATATTTTTCAGTTGATTATAAAGAAAATGAATTAAAAATAACTTCTCTGCAGTTACAATAACCCAGGAATTCCCCAAAAACACAAATAAAGTATTTTTGGAAAGACTATGCCAATATTCGATGTCAGGACATTTCACATGTCGAACTGCTGAATAATGAAACATTGAAGATTTGTTAATTAAAGATGATTCCTGGTGAAAATTGACGATTAAAATGATTACACTTAAATTACTGCAAATATAACCAGATTGTAGTTATAATTTAAATATTAAAGACGAAGATGACGGTTGTGAATAACTTCATGCTAATTATCAGTAGCAAGTTAATGTGTAGCATATGCTATTAACTTGTATTTTATACTTATTAAAAATAATGTATCTCTGCAGACAAGCTGCTCTATATTGTTATCATGTGGTGATGCTTTAAAGCAATGTGTAACTTTGATATACATTATGAAATCATACTATGATCAAAAAACAAATACTGAATTTAGTACTACGAATTTGTAAGTATAAATTAAATATTTTTAAAATTTTTTTGTAATAATTTAAATTAGAAATATTAATATATTTCTTTCATCAACAGATTTCTCCATAAGTCTCATCTGCCGTAATATTTAAACATCCCAGTCTTAAAGAATGTTTATATGTATTCCTGTTTAAAAAATATTGTTATTTACTCACCAAGTAAGAGATAAGACACATTAGTTTATTGGAATAATTATTAAACTCAGCATAAAAAATGATTGAATGCAACAACAACATGATCTTCAAAAAACAAAAACTTAAGCAAGTCATCAAAGCTAAGTGCACAAGTTTTATTTTACTTTTATTTATTTATTTTTTATATAATATATTAAATAGGTTGAAATGTACAAATTTTTAAATGCATATAAACTATTTTAAAATATATAAAATCAAAGAAACTTAATAGAATAAAAACTTTTAGTTTTGAATTAAGATTGTTTAAGGAAATTGGATTAGATTCTATACCAATTTTAATGCTTACAGCCAGTCTAAAGTTTTTAGAAACTGTTACATTTATTTTTAATGATAATATTTAATTACATTAAATTAAGTTTCTTTGATTTGTGTATTACAAAAACTTTTCCAAATTAAAATAAAAAATTACAGTTGTATAAAAATACATGAACGAAACACAAAATAAGCAAAGAAAAAAAAATAATCTTAGTTTGAAGAGGAATATTTTACAAAAAAAAAATTATGAGGTAGTCCTTTATTTATAATATTTTTAATTTATAAATTAAATTATTTATTATATATTTAACGTAATTGCAGATTCCAATTTTTTGGTTGATTAGAAAATTATATATATGTATATTTGGCTTAATTGGTATTTCATCTTAATATATATGAGATATAATAATTGAATTTAGTATGAATATACATTTTTACATCCTAGTTCTTTTTTGCTTTGAGAACACTTTGTCATTAAAATTATATCGTTTGGTGGTATATTCAAATATAATATTGATCGTATATTTTTATCATATTTAAAGAATTGTTAACAAAGTACATCCACAAAAAAATTAATTTCTTAATACGTTGACTGTGACGGCAGTTTAATAGGATTCCGGACAAGGAATCTAATATAATTTAATCCTTTTTGCAAACAAATATGTTTTTATTTATAAATTTTGATGAAACCTCTTATGATGATATTTTAGGTGTATTTATTAATAAATACATTTTCTGTTCTTGTAAGTCATCCTTGAATTTTGTTCGTTTTCCACGGAACCATCTATTTTTATTTTCCCTGATGTAGTATATCAGTACTATGGTATATCATGTAATTTGGCTGGCTACAAAATAACTACAAGGTAACTCAAACTAGACGTTATCGGCAGGAATGCAAGACATGATTTGTTTTGTTAATATTTTGAATAGAAAATCCAAATTATGCGAAATATATGTTGGATTTCAAGAATCTAACAAAGAATCTAAATTTTTTGGTTCTATATTATTTAGAATTCAAAGTATGTTGAATTACTTGTTTTAATAGATTAAATTGCTAACCAACAATTAAATCATTAATATTGAAACGATTGGTATTTGTTTCCATTGAATTCTAAATAAAAATAAATTAACATTCCTTAAAAAATTATAAATTTTTTGGTTTTTATTTGTAATATATATGTATGCTTAATTTAAATTGGGGCATAATTGTTTCTGTATCTGTAATACTTTAAAAATTAAGATAAGGCAAAATTCGCGATTATAATATAAAAATCGAATGTTTCTCAAAATTGTTTTGGTCTTTTATTGTATTCTAGTTGATCATTATTTTGTGCACATTTCTTGCTCCGCCGTAGGTCTAACGAGGGATACTTTTAACATTCGTAGATTAATACGCTTAGCAACTTCTGATTTGCCGAGTAGATTCTAGAAACTGTAATTCTTCATAAGGCGGTGATTAACACTGGGTAGTCCCGTACATGCCAATCATATATTGTTATTACCATAAGTAGTACTTATTATTCATGCATAGAATAGATTGTATATAATAAAATGAAAAAAAAAAAAAAATTCTTGCTCCAGAATTTAGCTTCTGCAGTGCATCGTGTACCCATTATCATCGCTAGAAGCATGATATCCAGTCATCACTCATTTATACAGCATTTCTCGAAAATGGTTAATCCAATTCGGTTGAGGAGTTGTTTAATGTTTATACCATTATATCACCTTTAAATTGGCGTATTTATTGTTTATTCAGATATTTAATTCCTTTTATTCCAATAGAATGATATCCATCATTCTCTGAAAAATGCTAGGTGCACCATCGATGCTGAAGCACCACTGGATAGCACAGTTGTCGCAACTTCTAATAGTTTCAGAAGTGGTATTAGTTTTTGAAAAAGGCACCACTCTTCTTCTGGCATTTCTAAGAGTTGTGCTTGGATTGGAGTTGTAACGGACCTGTCACTAATTACAGCAGTAATGTGTGTTGATACTATAACTGTTACACCACCTGATTTACCAATTAAAACAACATTTCCTTTTGATCGTCAAGTTAAGACTGATTTTTATTACTTTTCATTTCTTACATCTAACATAGTTTGTTACATCTAATTTCGAATAGAATCTTATGTATCGATTCTATTGGTTGATACTTAAATTACTTGCGTCTAATTGGTTAACCAATATAATAATATCTACTAGAAATAATATATATATTTATTGGTCATTGTGGTTATTTACTTTACGATGGCACACATCTGGGCCCTGTTGCACCAACACTTTTCACTTTGCAAAACTTATGAGTGACTTTTTTTGCAAAGTAAAAGTGAAAAGTGTTGCACCAAAGACTTAAGATGATTTATTTTGCACTTTGCAAATAAAGATTTCATTACAGTCTTTGCATAAATGGCATAGCAAAGCGTTGCACCAAAAAATTAGATCACTTTCATTTTGATATTGGTTTTTGAAAGCATTTCGTTTCTGTTTGTATATTATTTTTTATTTGTTTGTTTGATATTTTGATGCTATGAGTACATGATTTATGCATAGTATATACTATGCATACTATGCATACTAGTATATATAAAGTTTTTAAAATAATATTGCGATGCCTGTTATCATATTTATGTCAGCCCAAATATTTTTGAACTTGAATTTGGGTTTATTTTGGATGTCAACTTTTCCAAGTTTTCAGATTTTGCGGCTTTGACTTGCTTTCTAAATAGTGCGTTGACCTTTTTATACAAAACTAAATAAGAATTGATCCTAAATCTTTTAAAATTTTGCCAATAAAATTGTTTTTCGTTTCTAAGTTGTTTTAAATTGGAATTCCACCATGGTATTTTAGCTTTAACAAATGATGGCTTTGTCTGTGGGATCGCAATATTTGCTGCAGATCTAATAATTTTAGCCAAATTGGCTGCTTCTTTATTATTTTCGTCTGCTATATTGAATTTGTTATTGTTTTGTTTACAAAGTTGTTGGAATTTGACTTGGCTTAAATTTATCATATTGGAGATTTGATAGTAAGCTTATTACAATAGGGAAAAAATCACTGCCGTGCAGATTTTGAAGTATGTTCCAGGCACATTTAGGTGTGAGGCCGGCTATATATATTGTAAGATCTATGTGAGTAGAAAAATGTGTGGGAGACCCATCGTTTAAAATAACGAGGTTTTCGCTTAAAATGACGTCTTCAATAATTTTACCCCTGCTGGTGCATACATTGGAACCCCATAAAGGGTTGGCTGTGGTATTTATGGGTAGGTTGTGAAAATATCCCACAAAATTTTTAGGTATTATATTATTTCTGTTAAAAGCTATATGAGTTTCTTGTAGAGCAATAATATCCGGGTTTATATCTTTGATTAAAAGTTTTAGTTCAAGATAATTATTTATATAGCCTTTAATATTCCACTGAAGTATTTTTAACGACATAAAAACTTTAAATAAAAAGAAAATAATCTATGTAAAAAAATAAAATAAAATTTGTGCAAAATAAAACTATATGCGAATAAACATTGTTTTATATGTTTCTAATTTTGATATTGTAATTTATATTTGTCGAGTTTTTTTTGCACTTCATCATCGCTTAAAACTACTTCACTATCTTAGAGACGTGTTCTAGTAAGAGAATCTTGACTAGTAGAGAGCTTTTTTCTAAATTTAGGGATAGTTCCAATTATTGTGTTTATTGTAAAAATATTTGATTTAAGATCGTGTATTAAAGAGTTACTTTCCTCTAAGACTGCAGGTTTATGAGTACCAATAGTTGAACGAGAGACCGGTTCCAAATTTGGTTTTTTTTCTTCATCGTTGTTTGTATTAATTCTGCTTGTACTGGAAGAATTGATAAAAGATGGTGTGCTTGTAGAACGTAAGCTCGAAGAAGAGAAAGAGCTAATATTTTTGTTATTGTTATTTATTATGTCTCTTGATTGCACTTTTGAAGTTGATGCTTTAACTGGAGTGCTTGTAGAGAGTGTTGCAGTAATTGTATTATTTGAAACATTATTAGGTTGCGGTTTTTTATTTATGTCATATGAAACCACTGAAGAGAAACTGTTGCTGGAGATATTGACTGAAGGTAGTGCTTTATATAGTTGTTTTGCTTCCCGCATTGTGCATTTTCAGTTTTTTCATTGCACTTAAACTTCGAACACTTCGAGAACAAAAATTTACAAAAAATTCAAATTTATTTTCAACTTCAAAGACTTCGTTTACTATTCGAATATTCGGATTCTTCAAATACTTCCTAAACTCGAACATCAACAGCACTAGTAGATATTAGTTCTCTATATAAAGCTAGTGTACTGTGATTATCTTTATAGTTCTGTTTGAGTTGAGTCTTAAGTTCATTCCAACTGCCTTTAACATCATTTTCTAATATCAATCTTGCATTTCCTGATATATGTGCCTTTATATATTTGAATAAGAAATCTTTTTGATGCGTCTTTGCTACTCCTTCAGCATTATCGCAAGTGGAGACAAATGTGTAAAGTTCAGTTTTATCACTTTTGAATTCGGATATTAATTTTATGAATGTATTTATATCTATTATCTCTCCTAATTCACATGAATTACTAGGATTATCAGAATTATCTAAACTTGCTAGATTTACATAATCATTTGTTGTCATTATGAATTTTATTGAACATAAAATACTAGACGAAGTTATTAACAAATAACTATTATAAACTGGTAGAAATTCCAATATATATGTAGAGTAAAGTCCAACACGTCTATCGTTCGAGGTCTTAAACTATACTAAACTACTTTATTTATTGAGAGCAATTACAATACGCTATTAAGATGAAATGATTTATTTA